GTTTTGAACAACCAACAATAAAAAATTTTAAAAAAAATAAATAAAAACAAGCAAACGCTGCAATTGAAAAGAGAGGAGGCAAACCAGGTCATGTCTCTCATTGTGCCTGTGTTGGGAGTTCTGGTTCAAACTAAACACAATATACCATGACCAGGCAGTGGTTGGCTTAAAAAAGAAAGGAAGGAAGAAAAGAAAAAAAAAGAGAAAGTAATTTACAAATGTCTGGTTCAACAAAACAGGGATCCTTCCCTGTTCATTATGGATGATCCAAGACCTTGAAGTGGGACTATATTTCTTGGGAGGAATAGATTTTCAGGTTGAGAAAACACCTGGTTTTAGCAATAAAAACCATCACCCATACCTTTAAATAATCGAACCAATGCATCTATTTTCACAAAACCTCAGAGTTTTGAAGTAATCAAGCTATCATTTAAATTCTCTCCCCCATCCCCTTTCATATATGAGAAAACTAAAACCCAGAAAGATCTACTAGTTTTCCCAAGGTGAATCTGTCAATATTCTGAGTTGCAAGTAACAGAAATTTATTTTGGCTGAGTGAAGCAGAAAGGGGATTTCTTTAAAGGATATTGGTTAATGCAGAGAGCATCACTGGAAAGGTTAATGGATATCCAGCAAACAGAAATGATAATTAAAACCTTATGTGTGAACTGGTTTTGACACAGATACTACTGCTGCTGTATCTCTGAGCTCAGGAGAGTGCTCCCTACACTTGATTCTCTGTCACCAGGCTCCAGACAGGCTGATCTCTGGTGTCAAAGTCCTGAGCTGTGCTCCAATCAAAGGGGCAGCCTATGAAGCAAATGATTGACTTTTTCAACATTACTTAACTCCTCCCCTTACTTATTACATAGCTCCTCCCCTTATCCTCAGCAAGACACAAAAGGTTGGCAATTCCTCAGACACAGAAGGGGTTCAACTACTGGGAACCAAAATAAATAACAAATGTCAATTATATAAGACCTTTCAGGCAGCTAGTGGTCAAGCTGGAATTGACTGCTAGTTTGAGATTCTTTTCATTATTAAGTGACTCTGATCTAATCCCCCTTTAACAAATGTATAGTAAACACTTGCCATGTTTGAGACATTGTGTCCTCAGAACACAAAGTGATCAAAAAGACATGGTTTCTCCTGCAGGCCTTATTGACTAGTGGTAAAGATGAACATTGAACATATAAGCACAAAAATAATTATGTGATTTTAAATTAGTTTGAAAATTGACATGTTCCAAGAAGGAAATAGAGAGGTCATAATGAAACATCATAGTAGGAAGTCTTGAATTCAATTTTGGAAATGTGTCTCTGGGAAATGATATTTAAGAACAACAAAGAAGAACAAAGGAAAGCAATTAATTAATTGGTTTTAAAAAAAAAAAAAGAGCAATACAGTTCAGCTTTCCCACAAACTGCCCTGAGAATCCACACCAGGGAGTTCCCTGAACCTGAACCCTGGTTGATAGATAAAATTCGATGAGCAATAAAGGAGAGGAGGCTTAATAGTTTAAGAGCTTTAAAAAGGCTTCAAAATCAATGGGAAAGAACACAGAAAAAAGAACAAAATGTCCCATAAGGTATAAAAGGAACAGAGGCACTCCAGCCAGGGGTCAAGGGACCTCTTAGCAGTCATCAAGGTGATTAAATTAACTTGGTTTATTCACTTAGGTATTCATTCAAGCAATCTGGATTAAATGTCTAGCAGGTGGCAGACTGTAAGGTACAGAAGCAAATAAAATATGCAGCACCTGCCTTCACCCCACATCCTGTCTTGTGCAAAAGAGTGACAGATGCATGATTTGGTTTGACAAGTGTGGCTAAAGGAAGGGCTCTTATGGCCCATAGTAGGGGGGGAGTTTCTGGTAGAAATAAGAGATACCAAGAGAAGACCAGGTACCCACAAATTCTGTATACAAATGATCTGATGTCATAGGTGACCAACATATGAATTAACATGAAGTAGAAACATACATGGCATAGTGATATTGGGGAAAATCGATCTATACTTCTCATATTGCCTTCCTGTCACTCCACCATTCCCCTCATTAAATCAGCAGCAAGAGTGTTCACTGCATTGTGTGAATATTTTTACAAGCAGAAATAACCAAAGAAATAAGACATTCATTTCTCAACTTCTCAGTTTCAGAATAGAAATTTGAAACTTATGGAGAGAAAATAGTTGAGAATAAAGGATTTTGAGCATGGGGGGATGGGGGGAATGACTTTTGTGAAACCAAAATTCTAAAGGACTCCAGGCATTACTCATGAACAATTTAGAGGATGTGCCTGTAAGAGCCAGTTTTCCACTCTGACAGAAAAAGAGCCTATAGCTCAGAGGCAAAGGAGAATATCAGAGAAGCTGGTAACTGACCTTGACATGGTGTCCTGAACCCACCTTTCTGAGTTAAGTGCCAAGTTAATAAGTGACAACAACCAGACCAGGAGCTCCAAAACATTGGCACCATGGCATTTTTAAAAATCTCCCTGGAGCTCATAGATTGCTGTGGGAAGAGCAGGAAGATCCCTCTGTATGAGTATGTGTGTGTGTGTGTGTGTGCACTCACATGTGTAAAATACTTCTGTTTATAGTCTGTGAAATTTCAGACTGTTACAAGTTTAGTGAAATTAGCATTCTTTAAGCATTAATTAGAAGCAAGCTACAAAGTAGAGAAAGGTTTCTAGATGAATGCCAATTTTTAGCTTGACAAGATCAGACCAGCAGAAAGCAGTCCCAGATAATAACTCAGCTAGAAATAATTAGAGTACACAGAGAACTAAATGATTTTGATCCCTGAATCCAGGAAGATAGCCTTTAAGTAATAAGCTTTTAGACCAAGCTGTTCTGAAGATCAGAAGCACCAAGTGAACAAGCAAATTGTTAATCCTGAGCAGTAGTTGAATGGAGGAAAGACTTCAGAGACTATGAAAAGACCCAGCATGAAGTTGTTTCTTCTTATATTACCTACTAGGAGAAATTGAGGTCAAAATTGAGTAGTAATTGAAAATGGTGTGAATTTAGGACAAATGTCACAACAGAAAGTTTTATTTTTCAATATGGCCGAATTTTGATGTAAATTTTTCCAAAAATATTAATTAGAAACATTTTATATTTAGGATATTAAAATATTTTATATACCAACAAAGCACAGACATGTTATATATACTATTATGTAGTATGTGTTAGAAGAATAAACTATATATAGAAAAAAATCATTTACAAATATACATGTGTGAATATATATGTCTACACTTTTCATTTGACATTCATTTAGTTTATCTGGTCTAGGGTAAGCCGAATCATTTGATCAACACAGTTCAAGTCAAGTAGAATGACAACAAGAAATCAAATTAAATCATATTTACCAGTCAATATCTCATATATGTAGTGAGCTTTAGAAGTATTGGCTGGACAAGCTATCCACCCCTTAAGAATACAAATACACAATGTTTTAGATAAGCAATGATAACATTCAGAAGCACATAAGCAGTGGGAATTCTAGGTTTTCCCAGTCCCAACATTCCCAATCCTCTGGGTCCTTTGAAGTTTTAATTGATCAGAAAACACCTCTTTAAATTGTGTCTGCAATTACCTTGGTGAGCTTCATTTCCAGAACGTGGCTGCTGTGGATCCGACTGTCAAAATGAGCCACCTCCTTGGAAGAGGACTTAACCTTGGCAATGATCTTCACATAGGAGAACACGATCACAGCGGTAGGGAGCAACAGGCAGAAGAAGAGGATGTTCAGGATGAAAACCTGGCCCCCAACTGAGGCCTGCGCCAGCCACCAGTCCAGGGTGCACGAGGTTCCGAAGGGCTCAGGTGCGTAGTCCCCCAGGCCCACCAGGGGCATGGTGGTCCAGAAGGAAGCATAGGCCCAGATGACTGCCAGGCAGATGAAGGCGTGCTTTCTCTTCAGCCAAACCCCTGGAGGCGGAAGAAGAGCATTACCCACGTGGAATCTGCCCTGCACCCAGATACCTCCCCTCGATATGTCAAATTCCACCTCCAAAGATTTATTCCATTGAATTCTGGGAGACGTGGGCAGATAACTGAAGCCTGAGGGAGAGTGGAGTGAAGCAGGGAAAGTTCCAGAGCTTGGGCCTTTCTCCAGGAGAGTGACACTTTGAAGAGAATTCACAGGGAAGACTTTCTCTAGGCACCTGGGAGCTTTGGGAGGGAGAAGTGGCAAAGGCTTGGAAATGGGGTGAGTAAAAAGACCAGAGGATACTAACAATGGAGGACCTTGTGAGAACAGTTCTCATCTACACGGCCGTGTTAGTGGGTCATCCAAGGATCCAAGGGAGAATCCTTCAGGGGAGGTGTGCAATCACAAAGCATCGCTTGTGTCCTTAAAACACCTTTCCTCTTGAAAGCTTTTGTGTCTCTAATCTCCTTTGCCTTCCTAAGAACTCCTTGAGTGGGGATTGGTGCATCATGCTTATGACACTGTGGTGTGAAGCTAAAGTGGGTGACTATGCATAGTAATTTGTGGATCAGATTTGTACCCCCTGGACTGAATCTTCAAACTCTTCCCACAATAGTCGTATTCACACAGCCACTGTGGGAGAGGTAGAGAATCTAAGCAGGTTGCATTGTGTTTTGCAAAAGTAATTATGTGAAAATATTTTCATAAGAATAAAAAAAAAGCTGTTTTTCGGTACTGGCTTCTTAACTAAAAGAAAATGGCAAGAGGAAGAAATAGTACAGTCATCTAAAAAAGGCTGTAAAACACTAATGCACTAATGATCATTTCCTGAAGTTCAACACAACCAGCAAAGACAAGCCAGCCTGACTTCATGCTGCAGCCGCCACGGAAAATGACCTTCATATCCCACTCATCACCTTGGAGGAAGAGGGCCTGGGAAGTGGCTCCTTACTGCTTTGGTTTTGTAGTAGTGGAGAAGAAATATCAAAGTGTATTCAATAAAAGCTAAATTCTTTCTTTAACATAAACTTGGGATCTGCCTCTGCTTAGGGTAGTGTGGCAACGACAACTTTGTTTCTAGTGTTTGAATGCTCATGTAACCTTTCCAGATATCCAGTGTTCCTGACAGTAAAATAAAGGAAATAAGACTACATTGTTTACATGTTTCAATAAAGGTTAAATAAAATAATGTAAGGAGCTTGCTTTGCAAACTATGAAGCACTACATTAGCAGAAATTTTTACTCCTCTGTAAATGTGTCTTGTTTAGCACTAATAAGAAATATAACAATGTTTCTGTGCTCTATTGTCTCCTTTTTTTTTTTTCAAATGCATGGCATTTTTGTATCATGAAGTACAAATTTCTCAAGCCCAACCAGATAAGGGTAGCAATCATGTAGCCACAAAATATGTCAGCGCTTGATTATCCGTTATAACAGATAAAAACATTGGCAGGGAGAACCACATAGATTCATGGGAATGTGCAGAGGCATACGGATAAGCATTCATGATTAGGGTTACTTAAGTGAGGTGTTTCATACTTACATTCGAGTATGGTGAAAGGCTGTCAAGTACAGGAGGGAGTAGATTAGTAGATTGGTTCTGTGTTGCTCCAGAAGTCAGAACTAGGACCAATGGGTGGAGGTTACTGGGAGGCAGTTTTGTCTCAATATAAGGAATAACATTGTAACAATGAGAGCAGACCAATCAGAGAATGGGCTGCCTTGTGCAGTAGTAAGCTCCCCGTCACTGGTCACTGGAATTATTCAAGAAGAGGCCAAGTGGTCATCTCTCAGGGATGCCTTAAAGCAGTCTACCACATTTCATGGGAGAAAGGTCTATATGTCCCCAAGCGACCTTCTAATTCCAACATTCTAGGACACTGTGTGGAGGGTTTAATAGTGCATCAGATTAAATGATGAAACCATATGACTGAGGTTAAACCTTAAAGAAGCTGGAAAATAGACACAGTTCCCATACTGCCGTGATCCTGGTGGTGGGCAGCAGCATCCCTTTAGTAGACAAAAAGCTTAAACTCAAGAAAATACTTAAAAACAGAGACATCAAGGTTTAGTATTCCTCAAGTACTCCCAGGAAGTTCAAGTTTCTGCCTCCTTGTCTATAAAGTTTATAGTTAAACTTAATATCTGCTTGGCATAACAAAAAAAATAATAATAAGCTTGTGGAAAGAATTAGACTCTGATGTCATCCAGAATATGTATAATGGTATTTTTTTATCTTATCATAAATTTTGATTCAAGCTGCTTCTGTTGGATGTTGTAAATGTTCAGAACAGGAGACGCAATTTAAAAAAAAAAAAAAGAAGAAGAAGTAAGTACTTTATCATGAAGATGGTGGTTCACACCCCCTGCTCCCATGCATGGTCTCTCTGGTGTCTAGGGGCTGTAAATTGCTAAAATACGAAGGGAAATTCTGCCCTAATGAGATTTCCAGGTCTACTTGATCTTCTCCACCTCAGTCTCCTGACCATACTCTGTCCCCATGTCACAACCACTCTAACAGGTTGACAACAAAATAGCTTCATACAGAGAGCATCAGAATTACTCCTTAGTTACACCTGGTTCTCAGTATTAACATAAATGCCCCAAAGCTTCTTTTTCAGGTTCAATAAATTCCCAGAACCACAAGAAGCAAAAATGCTACAAATTATTTTTAAACAGTAAATGGTCTTTAATCTTTAAGGCAGGGGAACCCTTAGGCTCTGTAAACTTATTCACTGCTGTCTCTCCACTCACTAATTCTCTTAAGCTGTCATTTTTCTAGCTACCAATACCTCCCCCCAATTAAAAAAAAATGTTAAGTGGTATATCTGTATTTCTGTATGTGTGTCCTTTCATACAGCAATAGCAATATGTCTCTCTAGACCTGAAGGTGAATTTTGGAATTCCTTTTCTCCAAAATCATAGGGAGACTGGAACCTAAAGCAAAAACAGGAACAGCTCTTCTTATCATTACAGTTCCTATGTAGGGAATCAGCTAACCTTGCAGACCTCAGGCATTTTTGTTTGTTTATTTGCACAACAAAATATGGTAGAAACTTACAGACTATACAAGAAAGTGATCATTTTTAAAAGCATTGCAACCAAACACCAGACATTATTATAAAGTAGTATTAAAAGAAACCCATAAAAAAATAAAAAATAAAAGAAACCCATGTTGGCACAGGTCAAATCTTTAAACATGTGTTAGAATGAGATAGGCTATAAATAGAAATACTCTTGGTCTCTGAGGTTATTAGTAATCTTTATTTATTAACTGTATAAAATATGTACATCTATGACATTCAATGCAGCTAACTTTGATTCGCAGGGAAGGAGAAACCTTCCAACTTACCATAAGATAAGTAGCAGATTTTCAGGTAACGATCCAGGCTAACAGCTGTCATGGTGATGAGGCTCCCACAGCCAAAGAAAAATCCAGCCCATCCATACCAACGGCAGCCAATCCAGCCGAACACCCAGCGGTGACAGAAGCAAGAGATGATGGTGAATGGCTTGCCTACAACTGAAGCACCAAGCAGGCTGTCAAGGGAAGTTCCTTGTAGTTATTTTCCTACCTCCTCAAATCGCATGGCCCCACTTCACTGAAGCACAGGTGCATATGTAAACACACACTCGTGCCACACACATGCTTCATTATGCAGAACTTCTAGATTAATAAAATACTGGCTGCCCAGAGAGGTTTTCCAATATCCCAATAGCCAAACATAGTGAAAGAATACAGAAGGAATTTTCTAAAGTAATTCTGACTACAAAGAACTGTCTCAAAGATACTCAGCTTTAGGAAATACAGAGATGTGATGTCAGTGGCAAGTGCCAGCCATCTGGTCATTTTTAATATTTTGCTGAATTGGCTCATTTGAAAACCAAGGGGAAAGGGCCATAGATTCACAGTGAAATATACAAAAGAAAATGTTCTCTTCGAGGACAAATTTGCTATACTGATTTCCCCTGAAGACTTCATTACTTTTCTTCCCTCCAAAGTTAGACATCCAAGCTGGAGTGATCAAGATGCAGTCATAGGAACAAGGTTTTATACAATACACTTTGCTACTCATTCAGCCACGGCCAACTCTGTAGAGATGGAGGCTCAACAAAACAGTGAGCCCATGAGATGGGATCTAAACCCAATACTGATATACTTACATAATCAAGTAATACTGGACAAGGCTACCTATTAAACATACTTCTTGGCAGTCAAAATTCAAGGCTCATTCAACTTCCAAAATTCAAGGCTTTGAGAAATTTTTTAATTTGCAAAAATCTGAAAAGTAACTAACATTGTGTGCCATAGCATTTCCAAATGTGTTCACTCAGAAACATATTTATTTTATATTAATTATTCCCTAGGAAATACTACTCCACAAATTACAAATTATGCTGTCATTTAACCAGGAAGAATTCCTTAAAATAATGCATCAGGTCTGGACTAAGGAATAATTTGATGCAAGGAATCTTTAACTTAAGTGTATGCCACATAGACATCCAATCAGAATAGCTGATTCCATCTGTTATTTAAAGAACTGATGATAGGATATTATATAGACTTGTGATTTTCTAATAATGATGATTTATTTCTTTTTGCTTAGTTTATTACAATGTCAAGGATTTCTGGTACAATGTTGAATAGAAGTAATGATAGTAGGTGTCCATGTATTGTGATGAATTTTGAAAGAAATCTTTCTAATGTTAAATCATTGAGTGTGACATTTGTCCTAGCTTGTATCAGCCAAGGATCTCTGTTCTCATTCTGGTTTGTAAAGAATTTTTTTTAACCAGAAATAGATGTTATGTTTTTATTAAATGATCTTTCTTCATTTTATGAGGTGACCGTAAGTTTTTTGTTCTCATTTAATCCGTTAATGCAGTCTATTAATAGATACATAATGTTGACACAAATTTACATTCTTGGGACAAATGCCACTTTTAAATTTTTTTTAATTTTTTTTTAGTTGTTGATGGACCTTTGTTTTATTCATTTATATGCAGGGCTGAGAATCAAACCCAGTGCCTTGCATATGCTAGGCAAGCACTCTGCTACTGAGCCATAACCCCAGCCCCAAATGCCATTTTTTT